TTTTTTTTTAAATATATACTTATTTTTATTTTAGATTTGGATCATAATCACAGTCATTTTGGGTAGCTAAAAAACCTACTTTACTGTAATGCTTCTCTATATACAATATTAGACGTATGGCCATCGGGGGTAAAAGCATACAGGCTGCTGGGATTGCTAACACGGGACAGAGCCACATACAATTGACCGTGCGAAAAACAGCTGATACTTAGATCTATACCCACAACTTTTAGAGTCTGACCTTGAGCTTTATTAATTGTCATGGCGACACATAGGCTTACTAGAAACTGAATTCGTTTAAAATTAAACGGAAACTTTTTTGGAATGAGAGGAATCTGAGGAATAAAACCACTATCACCTTTTCCGCACCCTGTTAAATATATATATATTTATAAGCCATTTCTGAGCTTAGCGTGAACAGACAAACAGACAAACAGACGAAAAAAAGTTAGTTACATTTTTGGGTTCGACATCGACATAACAATAACCCCTGCTATTTTTTTTATTTTTATTTTCAATGTACAGACAGCACTTTTCTACAATTTTATTATATGTATAGATATAATCTACTCTTATGTCATTCGGCGTTTGCGTGACCAGGTGCATGCGTTTAACTTTTTAATCCCCGATTATTAAAAATCCACAACATTTACTCATACAAAACTAGTCTCTAAACATCGAAAATAAGGTCTATAATGGAGTAAGCAGATAGCGATCACTGATGACCGCTTAGAGGTGATCGTTCAGGGACTGATAATAATATGTCGGGATCGTAGTTATTTAAATCGAAACTATTGGTACATTTTAATTTGAGCATAAAAGATAAAGTAGAGTAACGAAATACATAAAACAGAACATTATTTTTATTGCATTTCCATGTTCACGACAACGTAATAAAACACCAAAATGACTTCTCTCTCCTAATATCAATCGAACACCCACCTCGTACGTAAAAATCATCCTAAACCTCGCAAGACAAGGAAGGCATAATAATATGAAACCACCAAATTAATTAGGAATTCATAATAATTCCGGTTCTACCAGCTGTGTCATTGTGCAATGTCATATCATTATTTATATAAACATACTTAATTCTTATTCCACTTTTACTTTCGCAAACAACATGGTGTAGTTTTTTTCCATCTCATTCGAAGAACTTTTTGTCAGTACCATTAATAGCTTGTGACTTAGAAATGACACTGCACTGTAATACTTTTTGTATCACCCTGTGGATGACTGGTACAGAATGTTATTTAGTATTAACTATTCTATCTAATTGTCCTATCAACATTTTGACAACGTTCTACCAAGTTGCCTCCGATCAAGGATGTAGAAAAAGGCAGACGTAATGTCAATTAGAAATTATTGAAGCATCAACATAATATCAGTAGTGTATTTATGTGTGCATGTACTTGCAACACCGTAATATATGCAGTGTAATGACGAGCCATGTCACGTGACAGATGTCCTCCGTGTCAATGTGTGTGCATTCTGCGTGTAAGTCTATAGTATCCAGGCGCCACAGTCGTTATTTCAAAAGACCTTCTGCCTTTTTTCACGTCCTTGCCCCCGACCATCAAGAAAACTATTAAATATTTATGCCAAAATATTAAATGCCAAAGTAAATTAAGGCAAGTTTTACTCCATTTTACTTGATACCATAATAAAACATCCATTTATTCGTCACTTGTCACCTGCTTCCTGATTTTTAGACATCACACAAGGATATAATAGGGTGTCGGAGCCCATTGACCTGGTGAACTCCTCAAGCGCCATCTACGGCGCTCACGGGAAGGAACGAAGTGTGCTATTCATAGCATGTCGTGTAAATGGGTTGCCGGGGAGTCTTGTAGGCTCTCGACAAACATTTGTGCCTACAGGTGGTTACCTACTGCGCCAAATGTGCCAAATTGGGGGAATATGTTGTCGTTAGGGAAGATTCTCGGTACATGTTCTTGTTATGCAATGGTTTGGTCTTTAAAACGGGTATGTGGAGTAAAAACTTAAGTAAATACCTATTACCTAAAAAATCTTATTGAATATGTGCTCCATTGTTAAGATTATCTTCCGGCTCGTATAAAATAAGCACTTAAGCAGAATTTTATTGACTTTTTGCTACGATTGTCAGAAGTTACACAATAAATTTATAATGATGTATTTCTTGTAGAAAACGTTACTCAGATTCGATGCCATTAGAAACAAAATAACACGCGCTAAGCAGGTTATTCCCCAATTATAGTATTAGTCATCACCACAATATAATAATAATAGGTAATCATCGCATCGAATTATAACAACTTACATAATACATCCATTGCATACTAATAAGACTAAGACCAATACGCAACTACAGAATCGAAGCGAGATACCACACACGTTTCCGAAGAGAATGCTATGATGTTTACATTTTACAGAATGCTGTAAATAAACGCTGTAAACGTATCAGCGATTAGAACGCGCGGTAAAACGTGGTAGCGAGTACTGTGTAGTGTGTACTGCACTTTGCAGGCGGAGCACTCACTGAGTGGAAATTGCGCAGAGTGGCGGCGCGGTGTGACCACAGCCGTTCAGACGGTTCAGACGTGTCCTAGCCGCCGTGCGACGCTCGCGTACCGCTGCGGCCCGCCACCCGTCGTGCGTGTAAACCAATAAATATACAAAACTTACGGAAACATAATACAAAGTGACCGCTCTCGAATAAATGGAGGAACAGCTGTTTTAGTGACGAGCTCGCATGTTCGCAGGTGCATATTGTGCGTTTACTATAAACAACTATTGTTTACGAATGCCGCGCGATTTACGTATATTATAAAGGTTAAGTTTGTTGAACTTAAATTTCGCGGCACGAGCCGGCTTCATGACGTCACGTGTAGTGCAACACTAATTAGATTAGATACGCTAAGCCAGAGCCAGTATGTAATGTTGTCGGAGGGAGGTAAGGCCCGCGACAGACGTGGAGGATAATGTAAATATTCTTTTATAAAAGAGTTTCATTCATAGCCGGCTGAGCCGTTCAAGGTCCGGTTTGTTGTAACTAAATAGTCGTGTTATGTTATCAGTGTTTTCCGGTGTTATTAAACAATATGTTCGATGTCATGATGCATAGTTAAATAGTTTGTAGGACTCGTTGTAAAGTTATTGGTCTTAAAGTGCAGAGTTACGAGTAGACGGTCAACTTTCTTGATAGTGTTACATGATCGTATGTAAACAATACCAAGACACGTTAGTCCGTTTTATTTAAATGTCATTGCCAAGGACAGGAGAGATTGTTACGTTGTTCCAGTAATGAGAACGCCCCCTGGCTCCTGAGTATACCAATGAAATATTTTTTAAAGAAGACCAGTTTATACTTTCACGTGACAAATTGTGGGAGCACAATAAAACATGAATTTCTCACATTCTCATACACTTTGACTGTAAAAAGTTTTTTCATATTTGTGAGAAAATTTCGTCTCAAGTCGTCTGTGAGTTTACCCAATTCTAGTTTAGCTTAGCTTAGTATTATTCTTTGAAAGTACTTTTTTGTTTGTATTTATAGCTTTTCTATTCCTAGATCGTTTAAATTAAATGTCTGTAGTACCACTGTGTTCCTTTATTGAGATCAGTCAGAGATTAGATATCAATTTCGTGATTATTTACTTACAGTAAAAAATAACAATTAGGTGTCATTTCATTTTAATTCTATCAATGAATAATTAATTATTGTAACTGACTGTTACGTATGTGTAAAAGAAACCGGTAAATGTTGAATTTATTTCAGTTCAAAGATAAAATAATTATATATTATGTGCCATTTATTCGCACTTAGAATCGACCCTTTTTTTGTGGGGGGAAAATCATCCAATGACTTCTCCCCCCGGGTAAGGTGAGAGAGAGTGTCAGACTCTTACTGACTAAATCCAACCCCGTTCCTACTCCTGCACTTTCGAGTCGGAGCCCCGGCAACCTGTTAAGCCCTACGCGGCTCCGTACGTAGAATAGATCTGCATTTGTGACTTATCTAGTCTTAATGGTGTCTATGGGCAGCGCTGATTGATGGCCATCAGGTTGTCCTAACTACATATATCTTAAAAAAAACATGTTACTCTCAGAATTTTCATGTTTATCAAAATGTAAAAAGTTTCAGTATAGAATAATAAATGCCGATCCCTATAGTCCCTTATAAATCTAGATGTGTCTTAGAGGCATAGGGAATATATCAAGTTCATATACTTAGAAACGTTGTAAATAAGTAAACAGGTTCGTCTCTTGTTTTCTAACTTCGACATTGATTGATTATAGTTTTTAACTTACATACGTTATTACCATTCACGCCTATTAACTTTAAGGGATGGCCAGAAATGTGACTGTAAAATAGAGTTTATTAAATTAATTCAATAGGAATGATGACAGGGTATGAAAAATTAAAAACCTAATCAGTCCGTCAGTTAGGTAATGAAAAAAATATTAGACATGATTTTTTTCTTATTTTGTCTTAAAGATAACAATACTTAGTTTAAACGAATCGAATTTCAGGAGGGGGAGCTAGCTACGTCATTTTTGAGCATAAACGTACATAGGAGTGACGTTACGCGATAATTCAAATCAATATATCGTCAAAAGTATTTATTTCCGTAAATACGTGTCTAATGTTTATGGATAATCTACCAAAAGGACATTAAAATAAAAATTAGTCATCTACCCTATTGTTGTACTACAATCGTTATGACAATGTGCCCTTGATGTGGCTTGAAATTAATCAAGTTAACTAGTCGAACAGTTAAGGGATTAAGCCATTTCACATAATCAATAAATCCCATGTTGTTAAGAACCAGCCTAAATGTTAGACTATCAACAATATCAATACATAGTATAAAACAAAGTCGCTTTCGCTGTATGTCCGTATGTATGCATAGATCTTTAAAACTACGCAACGGATTTTGATGCGGTTTTTTTTAATAGATAGAGTGATTCTTAAGGAAGGTTTGTATGTATATACATATTGCACCCGTGCGAAGCCGGGGCGGGTCGCTAGTTTTAAATAAAACTACGTTTAAAAAACCGACATCAATCCCGTCTTTTTTGGATTAGTTTTATTCACAAAACCTTCTCCTAAGCTACAAAAACTTTTCTGAAAACCGCTTCAAAATCGTGTCAGCCAATTGCGAGATAGTCGCGCACAACCATACATACATAGGTACAGATCACACTGAGAATCTCCTTTCTTTTTGAAGTCGTCTTAAAATATCACAACAAATTATCTCGGGGAATGTAATCTGAGACGGAGTTCTCTTGCGTTACATACATACATATATACATACATACATATCTTCACGCCTATCTCCCATGGAGGTTGGTAGAGTCTGGAACGTCAATTACTACGATTCCTACTACCTCTTTCGCTTCATCAACAGTCATCAATCTTTTCATGCCTGCTCGTCGGTTAAGGGCACTTTTAATTTGGCCCTTCTTTAATATATCGCCAATCTGATCAGTATATATCCGTCTAGGGCGCCCTCTATCGATGGCCCCATTCATATCATATTCTTTCGTTATTCTACTTTCATCCATCCTTTCTACATGTCCAAACCAGCGTAACATTCCCTTTTCAATCCTTGTCACTACATCATCTATAGTCAGTACAAAGTATAGTCAGACAAAGCTAGAAGTATTAAAAAAAGGCTGCCTCGTTGGCCGAGTGGTTGCAAGTGCGACTGCCGGGCAAGGGGTTTCGGGTTCGATTCCCGGGTCAGGCAAAGTACTACTAGGTTTTAAAAAAATTCTCAGTGGTAGCACGGAGTCTGGAATTGTGCCCGGTATATGACAATAGGTTCACCCCCTATTACATGGGTCTCATAACATAAATAGTGAAAAGTGGGTGTTACATTGTACAGTGGCATTAAGTGCCGTAATGTGCACCTCTGCTTGCCGCTTCGGGGATAAAAGGCGTGATGTAATGTTATGTTACTTTAAACTGTCAAACACCAAGCGGTCACCGGTGACCGCAACCTATTGTTCTATAATTGTGTCTATAATGACGGTACTCGACGAGTTAAAAAAGGAAATAACTGAAATACCTCTACCTTTTAATTCAACATGAAAATGTAACAATATCTAAGTTCTTTTAACCGTGCATAATATTTGTTTAGGTAGGTTTTGTGTAAGTTCTTATCAGTTTTTTATTGTAGTTAGAGTAGCGTATGTTAAACTCACCGTTATTTAAACTGGTTCAATATAACTGTTGAATGTGTTTATTTTTTAAGTAAGTAATGTGTTCAAAATCGTGTGTTAGTTAGTACATGACTATAGGGCATAAGGATCAAAATTGAATAAGATTTTCTTTTATTACCTAAACACTGTTAAATTGGTAGTTTCTTAGTCAATTCTTATGACTCCTGCTGGAAGAACTGGGGTGATGACTAGTGTATTTTAATATACTGCCACCAAAAAACTCAAAAGTGTTATAATTTTCGTGAGACATACTAAATTAATATTAGATATTATTATATTTTTTGGCTGACTTAAGTAAATGCTGTATATGAACATGAGCCTTTAGTACGACTTGAAACTAGTCTATTTCCTCGTCAAATAATTACGTGAGTAAGCCGAAAAACTGCCTCGTTGGCCGAGTAGTTGTAAGTGCGACTGCCGGTCTAGGGATCTCGGGTTCGATTACCGAGTCGGGCAAAGTGTTACTGGGTTTTTCTCAGTAGTAGCACGGACTCTGGAATTCTGTCCGGTATATGGCAATAGGTTCACCCCCTATTACATGGAACTCATAACATAAATAGTGAAAAGTGGGTGTTTCATTGTAAAGTGGCATTAAGATCCGTAATGCGCACCTTTACCTACTCATTCGGGAATAAAGGCGTGATGTTATGTAAGCCGAAAATCATTTTTTTTTTTTTTTATGGAATATATAAGCCGGTAAACGAGCAGACGGATCACCTGATGGTAAGCAATCGGCGTCGCCCATGGACACCTAGAACACCAGAGGCGTTACAAGTGCGTCACCGGCTTTTTGGGGATTAGGAGTTTGAGGATCGTTGGGGATTCAGGGATTGGGGAGATTGGGGAAGGGGAAGGTAATTGGGCCTCCGGTAACCTCACTCACACGACGAAACACAACGCAAGCGTTGCTTCACGTCGGTTTTCTGTGAGGCCGTGGTATCACTCCGGTCGAGCCGGCCCATTCGTGCCGAAGCATGGCTCTCCCACACTCATAACATTAGCTCAAAAATGATTTAAAACATTAGAAATGTATTGGCAAGCGAATTACAAGCTATGAAATCTGAATTAATAAATTATCCTCAAAACCTTATTTCCTCTTTCATAAAATGTGGTTTCGTGAGATCGTTAATATTTTGAGCGAAATAATTATTACTGTATTAAGTTAGGTTCAGAATGATAACAAATTGAGAATGCGTAAAATACTTACAATTGATTGTTTTTACAATATTTTAAACTGTCAAACACCAAGCGGTCACCGTAGACCGCAACCTATTGTTCTATAATTGTGTCTACAAAACCGGTACTCGACGAGTTAATAAAATCGAATCCAATAGGAATGATAGAATAGTAAATACGTATACGTATAAGTACACGTAATCACATAGGTACTTATAAACGCGTAATGTATGTAGGAAAATCTATAAAATATGTAGGTATATGCATTGTTCAAATACCAAGTACCTACTGGGAATATATTCCTATTTATATATAACTCTAACATTAAATTAAATGTGTATTTGTGTTCAATGTTAAAAATGAAGCATAATAACTTTTAGTACACAATAATTAGAATTCATTATTGCAGACTATAGAAAAACTATTAAAGTATCACTGAAATAGTTCGAGGTAACTCTATCAATGAACTTTTAATACATATTTTTTGGGTTTAAAATTTTTATTAATATCTAGCTTTTGCGAACTGCTTCGCAAGCGATCCCATGTTTC